TACGTAAAGTTAATCCCGTTTCATCGGGAACGAGCAGAACGAGTAGAAACGAATTTAACTTTCCTCATTCTAGGTAATAATAATAATAATAATTATTATTATTATTATTTTAAATGTGATATTTATTATTAATTACATTACGTAATTCAATTCGCGTTCAAATAAATATTTATCCCCCCCTTCCTCTTTCCCGCCTTTTCCCTGTTCGTTTAAACTCTATCGATTACTTTTTCCTGACACGTCGTTTGCCTTCTCGTGCCACGGAAATTTAAAATGAAAATAATTTTTTTGTTTTATTACAGGCAAACAAACTTAGGGATTTCATACGATATTTATCAACTTTGCGCTTGCGAAAACGGAAGATTGTTCCTTGCACCGCCTTATGGATTTTGTGCAGCAGAAGACAACACGATATGTCGGTGAAAATTAATTTAATTTAATTTATCAAAAGAGACTAATAAAATTAACGAGTAATTTTGAATTAATCATTCGGTTTATAATTGACTGAATTCGAAAAAAAAAAAAAAAAACACACACGTACATATCGTCGTCGTCGTCATCGTCATCGTTATTATCGTCATTATTATTATTATTATTACTGCAAAATAAAAAAATCATGCGAAACTTTTGTTTTTTTTAAAAATAATAATAATAATAAAACCTGCATTTTATTTATTCATTCATTCATTTTTTTTTTTTTTTTAATGTAAAAAAAAATTGTAAATTTTTTGTTAACGTATTTAAAAACTATTAGAACATTATTAAATGATTATTATAATAATAATAATATTAATAATAAATTGATTTTTATTACAATCGATAAATAAATGAATAATTTTTATTTTAAAAAAAACCTTAATTTAAAAAAAAACTTCCTTCATTTCTAGCAGAATTAAAAATAATTTTTTATTAATAAAAGTCGGTCTTTTTTCATCGTCGGTCTTTGACAAACGGAAAATTTAATAACAACCGCACGGTTGTTGCAATCGTTTTAAAAACAATTAAAATTAAAAAAAAAAAAAAATTTTTAACGCCATCATGTCCATTCGTGGGGGGGAAGGGCAGTGTGACGTAACGCGTATAAGAAAATAATGACGGAATCATTTTAGTTAAGTTACGGTTAAAAATTTTTTGCGCGCGATAGTTTTTGTAAAAATTTCTCTACCCACCGATATAAAAACCCTTTTAAAAACCTTCCACTGATTGCATTCCGGAGTCATAACAGTAAATTTTCTTTAAAAAGCTTCCGAAAATTGCCTTACCCTAAAAAGCATTAATTTTCAGGATCGGAGTAAGAAAAGAAAAATAAGAAAAAAAAACAATTTTTTTTTTCTCCTTATTTTTTTGAATTTAAATTCTTAAATTCTATCGAATAAAAATTTTATCATTATTATTATTATTATTATAAAAAATAAAAAAAAATCTGCTCTCTTAAGGTTCTTTGACTTGAAAACCTCTCGGAGGGAAAAAAAAAAATTTTTTTTTTTTTTTAGTGACATTTTAATGGGAAATTTATTCCAGTCACAAATATAAGAAAATAAAAAGAATTGAAAACACTGGAGAAGTAAACAAAAGGAAAATATAAGACGACAAGA